TTTCATACACGTGTATTACCGATAACCGTACATTTTCAAGAGTTTGCAAAGAATTAGCCAATTTTAGCAATTAACGAACAATTAGGGAAAAATCTAAACACGGGGCAAACCCTTGCCCCTCTTTAGTCGTACTGTCTATATAAAAAGTTGTAACCCATCTTTCGATAAAATACTAAAAAATAAAAGAGCTCTGGTTACTCCTCCAACACTAAAGTTTAATAACATCTCCTAACAGATTGTGCCACATAATTTAAACTTTCGGCAAGTATCATAGTGTTTAAACTTAAATATACTTTTTTATGGAGATTTTGTCATAATTCAATCAAATTTTAAGTTTTTTATACTGTAGTATAATTGAAAATTATCGACTTCCTAATGGTCACTTAACCTCCTGTTAAGTATGAATATATAACATATATATTTTTTAAATTCAAACATTTTAAAGATTTCACATTTTATTGAACAATGAATTATGATAAATTTAAAAACACGAGATAAAAATTTAACAAATTAGTCAGCCATACGTAAATGTTTCGGTAAAACTTTTGATACAATCGAACACACCTCCGAACGACTGCCACTTAGAAACGTGGAAAAGGGCCATTGTTGGGAGTCTTATAAATCGAAGGAAAACTTAATTTATTACTTTTAACAAAGTAGAAAAAACACAAAAAATAAAATAAATTTGTACAAAAGTCCCTTCTCTGACGCGCAAAGAACTCCTAAAAATATACACACCGTACTGTATTGTACATCGATTCGTTATTACGAGCTACGAATTAAAATATGTAATTAAAAACGGGAGTGACGATCTCTTCCGCAGCAATTTAAAAAATTCTTCAAATTCTTCTTAAAAAGCATCTAGAACGTAGTCGTTCCTTAATGTTTCTTAAGAAAAACATATTTATTTTTGCATTTACAGCCAACTTTTACGCGGTTAATAAAATCATATAAAAGCCCGTAGCCTAATCTTATGAACAACGACTAATTTCATACGGCCAATTGTTATTTTGAAGGAGGCGGCCATCGTTCGCAGCTTAAGACTAAGATTTTAGTGGCCGGGCCGTTGTACGCATTTTTATGCGAGAAGAGGCGTTTATGGAAAAATCGTTTAGGGGTGGCCATTTCGTCAGTTCGACCGTATTTATTTTCGAACGGATTATTTTCTAGGCAAAGAGTCTTTTGCTTTTTCCCCTAGACTTTTTATCGTATTTCTTTTCTTTTTTCTCTGCTCCTTAATAACATTGCGCTGCCCTTTTATCGCCATTATCTTTTATCTTTGCTCTATCGACACTCGCTCTTTTTATCACCCGGTTGTTCTTTTGATATACGATCCCGGAAACAATCCGTAGGTCAGAAAAATAAAAAGTTATTGGAAACCCTCCATTACAAGAAAATACAATTTATTTAATAAACTACTACCAGGTGGAGTTAAAAATAAATTCAAAACTTTGATTTCGGAGTAATACTATTTCCAACTTTTATATTTTCGCAATTATAATTACTGAAATCGCCTGGCTTTTAAAGAAAATTTTATATTTTAGTTTTATTTTACGACGAATATAAAATTTGTTTTTATTTTAAACGAATTAAATTAGTTAATGAACGTTAAAGAAAGAAATACAAGTTTTATCATTAAATACGACGAAAGCGCCAAATATCGAAAGATACGTCGTAGTGTGTTTTATTTTTTCACGCGCGATAGGTGGTCTATAGTCTATGTGTTCCGGTCAAACCCGCCAACAACGGCTACCGACGGGAACGTAAAAAACGGACGTTGTTTCGAGGTTATTTCGGGCGCATTTTTGTTCAAATAATAATCAAATATCCACCGTTTAGAGTCGTCGTCGGAAGGTTGGACGGTATTTGATTTTTGGATAGCCACATACCTACAGTACTTGCCAAACAATTTGTCTTTTACTACGCTCGATTGATTTCTTTAGACCAGAGTTTTAAAAAAAAATTTAAAGCGCGCTCCTGTAACCTTATGAAAAATTCATTTTCTCGTAATTTAAGGTTAGGGCGTTCCACTTTTTCGCTCGTATTTTAGTATTGAATTCAGTTACGGCTTAAATAATTAGAAATACCATCCAGAAATCCTCCAAAATTCTTCTGCCGCCAAATTCGAATAAGTAGAAGATTAATTAATAGTTTTAAGACTGTAATACAGTACAATTTTTTTTATATAGAAATGTTCGGTTGTAAACTTCGTAACTTTATTTTTGTTACTAGTTAAATGTACGTAAACGAGTGAAGATGCCCCGAGGCTCGTACGTCTCGGGTTAAGAAACAGTTTTAGATTATATTATATATTGCGCGTAATATAATAATTTTAACTGTCTGATTATTGTATAAAATAATTAAACAAAAACCCAGTTAAGGTTTACGCGGTTTCGTTTTTATAATTTATAAAATACATTTTTTGATATTTAAAAAGGAAGGAATAAATTTAGAAATCTTTTAACAAACGCCTGTAACGATAAACGTTGTAAATTTTATTTTCATTTTTCAAAATATCCGTTTTTATGGCAAAAAGATGTTTATTTTTATCCAATTATCACTCTAAGAATTATTTTTCTTCATCAATTTTTCTCTTTTTTTTAATTGAATTTGTTTTATTTATTTTCTTTCCTTTCGACATTCGCATTTTAAGCATTTATACGATTTACGCTTTACGAATTAATTTAATTAGTTTTTACGGAATTTTTCTTCCTTTTTTCGAAATTATTACTTTACTTAATTAAATTCCGATTTGGAGAATTTTCTAATTTATAAAAACGAAAATAATTCTTATTATCAGATAAAATATTTACAAAAAAATAAAATTCTCGAGAATTTAGTTATGACGTATTTATCGTGTTTAGCGACATTTTAATTGCATTTTCGACGAAGAAAATAGCAGAAAAATTTGGTGAATGGCGTGACAACAAAAAAGCTAAAAAAGAAAAAAATTAAAATAAAATACACGCGAAAAGTATAGAATAATTGATTTTTAAATGGGGGAAATGAATTTTATCTAACAGAAACTTTAGCTGAAAGATATTATTCTTCTTTTAAACTAACGCGCAAATATAATGTATAAATGTAATAAATGTCTAATATAATACATATATAACGCAATAATGTATATAATGCAGGGATTTCCAATTTCTTTTTCTCGAATTGACTCCATTAGCGTGTTATCCTATGGGCAAAAAGGGGAATTGCCCGAAACCTCCGTCAATAGAGGTGCCCAAATCAATCTTTTATAAACTCGTTATCGTAGAAAGAGTATCGAAATTTAAATTTGGGCCGGGTCTACTTTGCCGGCGTGGCGCAGGCGCGGAGTGCGCCGGCAGGGAGCGGAGGTCGAGTTAAAAAAATGAACGAAGATATCGAGGAATTATCCAAAAATTCCCTGAGAAGAACACCGTACACGGGGCCCCCTAACATAAGTTTGCCCGGGCCTGGCCAAGCTATAACGCGCCAGACTGACCCCGTATAGAAAACATTCTTTTCCATCGACCCCCATAAGATTTTATATTATTTCCCAAGATTTTGCTTAATGTATCGAGTAAATTATTAAATCACTTAATACTTTTCCCACGTGATTATTAATATTCTTATATGAAAATTAACTGAAATGCTCGATAAGCATCCGAGTTTTCTATCGACCTCCGTTTGACCCTTGGAGTTACATTAACCCCTTTAAAATTTCGTGACCCCGTTGAGAATCCCTGATATAACGTATAAATACATAATATAATAAATGTAATATAAGTGTAACGCGTGTGTTTAACCTTTTCAGATATATAAAATAATCAACTGTCGACTGGCATTAATTCAAGTAGAAGTTATTCTTTGCTTTTGTGCTTCTCTACCAAGCAAATATTTACTTATTTTCTTATTTTTCGAGCGGCGAAACTCTCAAACCACGTAACAATTTATAAATCATATAAGAGAATCTTAGATCGATTTCGGTTTAAATCAATAAAACGTAATCTAAAATAAAGAAAAGAAAACAGAGTTAGCGGCTATTTTAATACTTTATAAATTAAATCATTTATTACAACTCCAACTTTATTATTATTATTTTTATTTTATAAATTCGATTATTTTAAGTTCAAGATGTGGCATTTAAGAGTTTGAAAACTTAACACTTTACTTTAGATTGAGTTCTCTCGGGCGGAAATCCATGAATTTTTAGGTAGTTTCGCTGTTTTTTCTTTAGTTTAGTGACTTCTCTGAAAGAAAAGTTAAGAAATTCGGTATTAATATAATTAAACAATTTTTATTAACGCGTATATATTGAATTACCGTCGAGTATTTCCAATAAAATATTTAAAAACAAAAATGTATTTTTAATAATTAATTCCTAATTGCATTTTCTCTAATTAGCGTCCTCTTATCTTATTTTATTACACATAATTTGAAGAGTTTCTGATAAAATTTTGAAAGAGTTAAGAAAATTTTCGGTTCTATAATTTTATTATAGGATCATAAATTATATTTATTATTATTAGGCTATATAATGAAATTATAGAATCAAACGATCAATACTTTAATTTTAAAATTCTATGAGAAGCGTGTTTTCTACATAATTATATAGGAAAATTGCTTGATATATGATTATATATATTGTATTATCATTTTACAAAAATAATATTTATTGTTTGTTTATTATTACGTAAATAAAACATAAAATGATGAAATTTTGCTAATGCCGTATCGATTACAGGATTTATTATCAAATGGATTAATAATTAAAATAGTTAAAACATTTAAACTCGATACTTAAATAAACTGCGCTAATATTAACGAGTTTAGATAGTAAATTACCTAATTAATATAATAATTATAAAAATTTAATTATTTAAACATGAAAATATCAATTGATAAAGGTCCACCGAAGCATGTGTTCTGTTTACATAATAAAAAGTAGCGCAGATCTGCCGTTAAAAATAACAAAGTCGGGCACCAAAAGCTATTTTATATTCGAATCAATATCTGGTGCATCGCTGTTTACAACTTGAAGGACTGTCTTTATATTATATTTGCTAGTCTACCATTAAAGATGATAGCTGTTACCTCGGCCACTACTCTCTTTTCAATACGTAAGCTTTCATATTATTTAATATTATTTTATAAGCAAAATATTACATTTTCATTAAAATTTTTAAATAATATAAATTTAGATTTTTTAAAAAATACATAAAAATAATTAGATAATAATTTTAATTTTGTAATTTAATTAGTACTTTACTATAGATGGCATTCGGTTAATTGAGCAAGGAAGGAAAAAATTAGAAATATTATTTTGCTGCAAAATTGTAGCCCTATAAATTTCCACTGTCGTCCGTCTGTCTGATGTCTGTTCTTAATCTCGAGAACAGAGTTAGATAGATGAAAGCCGAGGCCGGACACGGAAACCGTAGGGCGGGAGGCCCGATTAACTATATACGAACTTCCGATGTAAATCGGAAACGACGTTATTTCAATTCAAAAATTTTCCCCCGAAAGGAGTTAGGTAAATGACCGGCATAATTCTTTTGTTAACGGGAAAAGTATGATGTACAGGGGCAAGCGACTACAAATTTCAGGCGGAGAATATATATTTTAAATTAAATAAATTTAAAAAAATATGATTAAAAATTGCAGTCCGGTATTGTGACGATGTCGCAGTAAATAATTTCTCCTTGATATTATTTATATTGCGTGAATATAATATATAACGATGATAATATTCTATAGTCATTGAGTTAACAGTAAATTATGTAGTATTGTCAAACGTGTATATGTACTATACAGTGACGTATGTCATATACAGTGACGTTACCAGTGTCAATTATCCTTTCAAAAACTGTCAAACGTGATTGAAAATATAAAAAGATATGATTTTAAATTCGCTTAGTAATAAAAATCATTTAGTTTTTCGTCCATTTTTTATTATAAATTTTTCATTTTGAAGAAACGTAAAGGTTGACAGTGATAAATTTAAAGTTAAAACGGTCATTTCCAACGAAAATATTTTTAAAGTTACGAAAAATCGATCGGTAACTTTAACATTTTCGAAGAAACTTCTCCATCGAAGTGATGTAAACAGCTCGAGACAAAATAATAGAAACGTAGGATAGAAATGAAACATTAAACAGTTTACGTAGATACATTTAACTGTTGTAATTATATATAACTGTTTAATTTATTCCGTAAAGAATTAAGAATGAAAAAAATAAAATAAAAAATCACGTTAATGACGACAAAATCGCCGGCATTCTTTTGTGATAGATTAGTGCTGTTTCGGATCATAGGAGAAACGTCAAGCACGAATCCTCGCGCCTCCATTCGATCAAACCGCGAGTGTCGACCCTGTCATTTTCTATAATATTACTTCTCAATCTTTACTTTCTTTCCAAATTTATGTCGACTCGCATCAGCCATCAAAAATCCATTATAACACAGAACAATAATAAATGTTGAATATAAATGATCGAGAACGTCGATTAAAGATTCTTTTTAATAAATGTAATGCGGTCACTGGCGAAACAATGTAGACATTAACAAAATTAAAATAAATACATTCTTCTATTCATAAAAACTTGTATTTATATTAAATATCAAATAGATTCGAATTTTCAAATACGCTACATTCAGACCTTTCGAATATCGAGATAAACCGCGGCCATTTATCTTTTTGACACGACAAAAACCTAAAAAATCGTTAGAAAATTTATTATATATTTTAAATAATAAATTTTGACAAAAAATGGAAGATTTTTTGTATAAAAAATGCAATGGAATGAATAATTTGTAACAAATACTTTTGAGATGCGGGGAGCGAGTGGCTCTCTGAGAATAATGCGTTTACATTCTGTTTAGAAATTTAAACAGTATTATTATTTATTTTTTAAACATATTTAAAGAGTTTTACTTTAAGATTTTTGTAAGATTTTACTAAATTTTAATCAACAGAAACTTTACCTTAAGAAAACTGATGTGTTATAATTTCTAATTTTAAAGTTTATGAAAAAAATCAATAGAAAAGTTTCGTCTTGGCATTCAAAAAACATTAAGAAGCATTTTCGAAAACACTTAAACCGATTTATGAACCTATAAAGATGCAACATTACATATTTTTAATTGTCTTCGTCCGAAGTATAAACTTGACAGAGAAATAAATGTTACGACCAGACGAGAGAAATCTTTACCCCGAGCTAAACTGTATAATAATAATGTATTAAAATTTATGCAGTGGTTTTCTGAAAGGCCGAGACTTTTTCAAAATAAATTTCCTTCGCCAGTTTCAATATATTTAAAATGTAGAAATAATATATTACGGTTTATAATACGAGTAGCTCGTTTCCCCTTAATGTCCGCTTCTCTGTCAAATACAAACACTCGACAGGGAAACATCCGAAGGAGCTAATCTTGCAAAGCGGTTTTTAAAAAAAAATTTTAACGGATTATATTTTTATATTAATACAGAATTAATTAATTATAAAAATTAGGAATTGTCTTACTGAATTATATATATATTTTACAGTAAAGCTTATAGAAAGGAAAATATCAGGCTGTAAGATGTTGATTACTCTAAAATTTGGTAAAATAATTACAGAAAATTTCTCCTAGTAAAATGTTCTAAACCTAAATGAAATTAATTAATAACTGTCAAATTTTCAATAATATAATTACTAAATAATTTTAATAATTAAATGAGAATTATAATTCATTTATTATATTCACTTCGTGAATAAAATTACGTCTTAATATAGTTTTATCGGAAAATAATTCAGATTTAATTTAATCTTTTAAGAAATTACGTGTTTATTTACATTATTCCTTATTATATTTTGATGTTTATTAATCATTCATTATCGGGTTAATTAGCTCAGAGAGTAACCTTAATTAACCTTCCATTAATTTAATTTAATTGGCTGTTTAATTAATTACTTCGTCGTTGACTTATTTATCGACTTTTTAAGAAGTTAATCCAAAAATAATTCCTTAAAAGTAAAATTCAAAATATAAGATTTTACTTCATTTGAATTCGACTGAATAAAATGAAAGATGCAGACAAGTAAGGTATTTACATACCATTATTATGTAAATGAATTACATATTAATAATACATAAAATTATTATATTATATATTTTAAAATTCATATTTAAATTCAATCTTCGTAATTTACAAACTTTCTTACATTTATTAATGTTAATTTTATAAAAATTTAAATTTAAAAGTAATTTATATTTTACTGAAATATAAATAAATATACTTAAGAAATTTACTTATTAAAAGTTTAAATGGCACTGAAATTAGACATTACACATTTAAAATAATACATTTTTTTATAGACAGTGTTATTTTATTGGCGAATAAATTCATCAAATAAGGAAACATCAACGCATCTTTACTATTAAAGTAGCCTTAGAAGTTCCCGATAATATTCTTCTAGTCGAATGGATCTTAACCAAATTTTTAATTATAGATTTAGCCAGAAAAATAAAATATCGGCAGTTCTAAATTCCTATGTGTTAAATTTATAACTGTACAACTGTACACGCACGTATAACACATTCTACATAGAGACGTTTATAGAATTTTATTTGATAAATTCTAGATAAAATTTGAAGAATTTGAAGAATGTCATCGTACTGATATAATGAGAACGTTCGATAATAAAGTTTCTAATTTTATATTTTGCCTAAGAAACTTGTGATTTTTTATCAAAAGAAAAATCTCACTTGATTATCTGTCCAAGTTAAAATCATTAGTAGATTTAAAAAGCTCTTTGAATTAGATTTTTGAGATGATAAAATTGGACTTTTAACAAAGTTAAGTCAATTTGACAGAACTTTTAGTAAATAAAAACCACGCGTATAATACTTCTATGAGTAGATAAGATTCCATTTATTCCTTAATATCTACTTATATATTAAATGCATTGCAGCAAAGTACTTATCTATTAAATCTGCAGGATTTTTCCAATAAATTACACAAAAAGTTCTTAATGTCTTTAGCAAACTATCGATAAGGAACTCAACTTTCCATCGAGAAAAATCTCATTTTAGATATAGAAATTATATTATTTAATTATTTATACAAATTCTGAATGAGCCTTTAATGAGATCTTTATATATAAATAAATTATATAATATTCAAGATTTTATATAAAAGGATAAAGAATTTATAACTAAAATTCTATAGTCAATTACGTAGGGTTTAGGTGTATATTATTAACAACATTCTATGTAATATTTAATATTCATGAAACTTTCTATTATAATGAAAATATCGAAATTATTTCATAATGTACATGAAATATAAATACAATATTTAGTTTGCATAACATAATACATTACCAATATATTGTATTACATTAATTATACAATAGATCCACGCAAATAAATATTAATAAAATATCGTAAATATACACCCCACACGCATCTGTGTGGTTATTAATTAAAACATTAACTGTATGTATAATTAAAAGAATAATATATATCCGCGATTTGGTGGATAAAGTGCTAATGTCAATCGATGTATGGCACAATTTTCATGAAAATATTTTTAAATATTGACATAAGCATTGTTAGAGATCGTTATGTCCCCTCCTACTTACGATTTCAGACTCAGTTCTAGAATTCGTGTAGGCAAGATTTGACTTTGCCACTTCTTACACTAAGCCACAGATTTAGAAAATATTCTAATAAAGAATCTATTTATTTATTGCAACAGTAAATACGCTATTTTCTGTGTAGAACATCAAATACTTTGTATTTTTAATCGAATTGTAACAAATTGCATTTAATGCTAATTAATTTAATGTAAATAGTAACTGTTAACAGAAAATTGGGATTTTATTTGTATACAAAAGAGAAAATATTTTAAAGTATTCTTCATAATATATCTCGAAAGATTATACAATGGAACGGAAGTACTTCTCTGGTAAATATGTATCTTTTTTTTTAAATATTAAATATGGTACAGGATTGCCTTTATATTAAATATAACTGTATAATATTTTCTTTATTTAGATTATACGCTGACTATAATAATTAATGTACGAGTTTTCTTTTCATAATTCATGAAAGTGGACGCTGATGGCATCAAGATGCTCTTAAGGCCCGAGAGAATAGAAGATGCGGAATTTTTTGTCCGTGGCAGACGGATACGTTTAGGCCTATAATTTTGAAAATAACAGAGCAACCATTTTTAATATTATTCCTCGTAATTTTATTTATGATATACTCCGAAAATGTTTTATTATATTTTGCGGCACATTTTATTTCTTTGGAGAATGAAAAAATATGGTTTCTTCTAACGCAATACGTAACAAGATATAAATAACACAAGACGAAATAAAAATATGTCAACGTAAAATTACTACTTTAAGGAAAGTATTAAATAAAAATTGTATAATAAATAGTTGTATATGACACAAAAATATTTAGTTGCGTGTCGAATGTTTTTGAATTGAGTAGTAACGCAGAATATTTACTGCAAAATGAAAAATGCAATAGCAGGAAATAACAGCCGAATTTTAATTTTATCATACGATTTATCATCTTACTTATTCTATTTTAGACATCAATGATATGGTTATTTAATATAATCACTCGATACAACTTCGCTTATAGTAAACTTGCTTCTAAACAGTGGCGCGTTATCCTACGGGCAAAAAAGGGCAATTGCCTGGAACCATCATCAACAGGGGCCCAAACCAATCTTTTACAAAAAAATATTTCCCTAAAATATTCCCTCGAAAAAAACACGGGCCCCCTAATTCAAATTTGCCTGGGCAGCGTGGAGCTATAACGCGCCGCTGCTTCTAAAATACGAATTTTGTAAATATTTATAGATTTAATATACATTATAGGTCATATTTCAGTTAAAAATTAAGATTTGCACAGTTATTTTTCCCATTTCAGTCATTTTAAGTCCTTCCATCGCAATTATAAACGAGAAAAATAGCTGGAACAACTTTCTTTCTTCTATCTTTCATCACTTAAAGTGGAAATTCGTAATATTTCTAGTGGAAAACCGCACAGGTATATTTGCAGAAAATTTATATTAAATTGGAAAAACTTTAAACTCGCTTTAAGGTTTAAAAAATATTTCTAAAATCAATATTACAGATATTAAGGAAGAAATCATCGTCCAGCTTCACGACAGCCATAAATCCTCAGTTGTGATATCTGTGGCGAGAGAGGGATTAGTACAGGTGCCAACGTCTCTCGACTTTTTATACGAAGAAGAAAAAAGCATTAAAGCTGTGGTCGACGTTAATTTAGGAACTTTTAAGACATTTTTACGTAAGGTAAACATTTTTAACCTCGATAAAAATAATTTTATTTGTGGAATTTTAAGCGTAATTTCTAAATATTTCAGATAAATAAACATCCGATGCTGTGGTCTTCGGATTCTTACTGGTTAATAAAATCGGAAAATTTATGGTTTCTGAAGGACAGGAATTTTTCTAATTTGATAAATAAAGAGATAAATATTGCCTTTACGGTATTTAATAACACGAAAGAGACTTTTCTTATTTACTCGTTGAACTGCGAAGAAAACGTTGGACCGTTATCGTTTAATGTTATCGACTGGAACAAGAATGCATCCAACGAAAAGTCAATATTTTACAAAAAGCCTAGATATGTTAAGGATTTGAAAGGCAAAAAGTTCAAATTTGCTTTAGAGAAGGTTAGTATGCTTTGCCAAACTTATCTATTGAATTATGCATTGGATGGGCTGTTTTTCATGAAGTCGTTTTTCAGCATTTTCCTTTTTATTTGCCTCCCAAAAACATAAAATTCCCTAAACCAAGTGGAATTGATATTTATCTTTTGGATATTTTAAGTCGCCGTTTGAATTTTAGGTGAGTTTCCCGAAAAGCATTTTCTTAACCAGCTAATTAATTTATTTATTTATTTTAATACACATTAGGAAATGCCTTACAGACAAAGGATTTAAAAATTTACAGAAATTTAAGAATACAAAATGACGTTTAAATGTATTTTGTAAACGTCATTTAAAATTCATAATCCCCCGTTTCTTCGTAAAAATAAAACGAATGCAACACGTGTGTTGTATTTAATTTTATTAATATTTTAAATCTTATTTTCCAGTTACGATATTGTTAGACCGGCCGATAAAAAATGGGGATCTAAACACAACGGAACTTGGAATGGAATGATTGGTATGATAGAGAAACAGGTTTGTTTAAACGATAAAAATGCTGTTTTCGATTCGTTTCACGTAACTTATTATAAGTTTATGATGTTATGTTGTTGATAGGAAGTGCGGGGAGCATTAGGAGGCATGTCTGTAATTGCTAGTAGGGTGGAAGTGGCGGATTTTAGTAAATCCTACGCCTTCGATCGAATCGCTTTTGTGATTCGATCACCAGAAGAAACAAGTCGTAAATGGGTTATTTTTCGTCCTTTCACTTGGGATGTAAGTAATATGCCTTAACACGCCGTAAACATATTTCGTGTAACTTTTATATTTGCCATGATACGACTATCTTGCAGTGGCGCGTTATAGCTTTACGGGGCCCGGGCAAATTTGAATTCGGGGGTCCCGTGTACAGTATAGTATTGACTTTATACATTTTTCTTCTGGAAATTTTTTTGAGGAAATATTTTCTTACAAAAGATTGATTTGGGGTCTCAGGCAATTGTCCTTTTTGCCCATAGGATAACGCGCCATTGCTATCTCGAGGGAATAAATACCCAGTCTAGCTTACTATTTGTACAAATAAATAAATGTATATTCAATTTTTCATTGATTAATTTAGTACATTGGCTTCATTCGGAGAATTGTTCGCAGATAAAAGAATTGAAACGAACAAATCAGGGCATTGAACTAGAACGAGACGTAGAGCACTTCATTGAAGTATACTCACAAAGGATGTGACAGAAATAGAATATGAAATTATTGAAATAAAAATCATTTGTGGAAACGATATAATCTGCTTATTTTACTAGTGTACACATCTTCGTCTCATAGCAAATCAGAATTTTCTCTAGTGCATCTCTCGAGAATGCCAAACTCATAACGTCTATTCAAACAGGCGATATCTTTTATTCATGTCACAGCTCACTAAGTGAAGTGACTGAATCAGCTGTTTTCAATTCGCATTTTCTCATGTACATATCATTAAGTGAGAGATTGGACGTCTTAGCAGAAGTAAAGTACCATTCATTTTCACTAGCTTTAATGTCAGGGCAAGGAATGGTTAGCTTATAAATTGATGACTCTGTATTGTTCAGAAGATTAGTTTCTGTTTTCTGAGCTACGCAAACTTAATGTACGTTCTGGAGTATCATTTACCATATTTAATACAGAATTAAAGCGGGCACGGTTCTAAATCTAAAATGGTACTAAAAAATAATAATAAAGATGCTTAGAATATTAAAAACTAAATAATCCAGTTTTTTCTTGTATTAAACGTAAACGTTAATTTACTTTGTTTAAAAGTGAATTAAGCACTGTATTTGTTCTAATTCTACTAATTTAACATTTAAATTTAATTAAAGATTTATTACATTGTTATTACATTAGACTATTTTCTTCTTTCGTTAATTGTAATTAGATTTAAAACGTAATAATATATTTTTAGGTGTGGTTAGCTGTAACAATAGCAATTTTAGTAGTGGCAATTTGTTTGTTCGTAATAGAAAACATCATTTGGCATTCGGCAGAAATTTATAAGAGCAGATACGACGTGAAATTGAAAAATCTGAAAATAGTTAAAGCCATTCTGCTAATTTACAAATCCGTAGTATATCAAGGTAAATTTAATAATTTATAAGTTTATAAAACACTTAATATATTTACCATTTAATTGATGTTTAAATTCTTGCAGATTGCTACGATCCAACGAGCAATTCCGGAAGGGTTCTAATTGTTTTTTGGTGGATATTTGTCATTACACTAATAGCTGGATACTCTGGAACTCTAGTCTCTTTTATGGCAAATCCCGGAAGAGAAACCCCAGTAGATACAATATCCAAGCTGGTATCAGTCCTTAAATCTGGGCAGTTTTCTTGTGGGACCATTAGTGATTCAGCTAGTCATGAGATTTTTCGAGTTAGTTACTTTGTTTTCATTTAACTTTTAAAACATTTCGAATTAGAATTGTCAAGCTTTTTCTTTTCAAATTCCGATCGACGATTTAAAAAGTTTCACCACGCAAATGAGGATGTAAATTATATTTTACTACATACTTAAGCGTGTTATTGCTTAATTGGAAAACTCTTTTAATCCTTAATCGATTCTTGGCTCGAAAATAATGACTTTGCAGAGAAAATTTATTATTTTTATATTGCTTTTTTGAGACGTTTTTCAAATTTTTATATTGTTTAATACGTTCATTACACTTTTTTATTTTTAATTTGCTATTTTACTTCAATAAAATTTTTTAAAAATTNAAAAAAATAAAATTCTCGAGAATTTAGTTATGACGTATTTATCGTGTTTAGCGACATTTTAATTGCATTTTCGACGAAGAAAATAGCAGAAAAATTTGGTGAATGGCGTGACAACAAAAAAGCTAAAAAAGAAAAAAATTAAAATAAAATACACGCGAAAAGTATAGAATAATTGATTTTTAAATGGGGGAAATGAATTTTATCTAACAGAAACTTTAGCTGAAAGATATTATTCTTCTTTTAAACTAACGCGCAAATATAATGTATAAATGTAATAAATGTCTAATATAATACATATATAACGCAATAATGTATATAATGCAGGGATTTCCAATTTCTTTTTCTCGAATTGACTCCATTAGCGTGTTATCCTATGGGCAAAAAGGGGAATTGCCCGAAACCTCCGTCAATAGAGGTGCCCAAATCAATCTTTTATAAACTCGTTATCGTAGAAAGAGTATCGAAATTTAAATTTGGGCCGGGTCTACTTTGCCGGCGTGGCGCAGGCGCGGAGTGCGCCGGCAGGGAGCGGAGGTCGAGTTAAAAAAATGAACGAAGATATCGAGGAATTATCCAAAAATTCCCTGAGAAGAACACCGTACACGGGGCCCCCTAACTTAAGTTTGCCCGGGCCTGGCCAAGCTATAACGCGCCAGACTGACCCCGTATAGAAAACATTCTTTTCCATCGACCCCCATAAGATTTTATATTATTTCCCAAGATTTTGCTTAATGTATCGAGTAAATTATTAAATCACTTAATACTTTTCCCACGTGATTATTAATATTCTTATATGAAAATTAACTGAAATGCTCGATAAGCATCCGAGTTTTCTATCGACCTCCGTTTGACCCTTGGAGTTACATTAACCCCTTTAAAATTTCGTGACCCCGTTGAGAATCCCTGATATAACGTATAAATACATAATATAATAAATGTAATATAAGTGTAACGCGTGTGTTTAACCTTTTCAGATATATAAAATAATCAACTGTCGACTGGCATTAATTCAAGTAGAAGTTATTCTTTGCTTTTGTGCTTCTCTACCAAGCAAATATTTACTTATTTTCTTATTTTTCGAGCGGCGAAACTCTCAAACCACGTAACAATTTATAAATCATATAAGAGAATCTTAGATCGATTTCGGTTTAAATCAATAAAACGTAATCTAAAATAAAGAAAAGAAAACAGAGTTAGCGGCTATTTTAATACTTTATAAATTAAATCATTTATTACAACTCCAACTTTATTATTATTATTTTTATTTTATAAATTCGATTATTTTAAGTTCAAGATGTGGCATTTAAGAGTTTGAAAACTTAACACTTTACTTTAGATTGAGTTCTCTCGGGCGGAAATCCATGAATTTTTAGGTAGTTTCGCTGTTTTTTCTTTAGTTTAGTGACTTCTCTGAAAGAAAAGTTAAGAAATTCGGTATTAATATAATTAAACAATTTTTATTAACGCGTATATATTGAATTACCGTCGAGTATTTCCAATAAAATATTTAAAAACAAAAATGTATTTTTAATAATTAATTCCTAATTGCATTTTCTCTAATTAGCGTCCTCTTATCTTATTTTATTACACATAATTTGAAGAGTTTCTGATAAAATTTTGAAAGAGTTAAGAAAATTTTCGGTNGAGAAAATATAAAACTCTTATCAAAAATGTTCAAATAGAATTTTTATTTCAAAATTAGCATTTGAAATGTAAGGGATGATTTAAAACTACTGTACAGTACGTCAGTATACCAATAAATAATAAAACAGACAAACTATAGGCCTATTTTAAATTAAAAAAAATGTTTTTGCTTATAAATTCGTAAAATGAAATTGGTATAATCTCCCGATAAAATATTAAAATGTTTTTTAAACGATACATTATCATTTACAACTGGTCTGGCATTATAAACAAGAGGTGTATTGTTGCGCTCGGTTTCTATACACAAAGAAAGAAGTAATCAAATATGATCAGTGTCAAAACTAATATATACATTTGCAAGAAACAATTTTCCTTATTTGGAATTCGGATCATCTGCATCTTCCCGTTTCCGTGGTAACAATCATCTGACCAATCGCGCACGCGCAAACGACAACTTACGGTTACCATAACGACGAGAGGCCGTCCTTGAACTAGAATCGTCCGCCTGATTTTCGAAAACAGCAAAGGGCTAACCGAAAAGGAATCCGTTTCTGACGATTTAATGTCAGCGTTTCATTAAGGAAAGAGATTTTTATTTTATAAATTGACTTTACGGTGATTGTTAGAAATGGCTGCTGTTCATCCGCAACAACCCCAAGAACCATTGCCACCTGGATGGGAATGTCGGTTCGATCCTCGCACAGGAAGATAGTAAGAAAGCAATTATCTTTAACTTAATATCATTACTTTTATACTCCACTTTCTTTTTAACAATGTTTAGCCCTTGTCTTCCCCGTACAATATTTGTGTGTGCAGCAAAACCTGTGTAAACCGCAATGGCGCGGTACCCAATGTTTTTGTCCGCTCTGCCAGGTTTTTTTAACTTACAAAATCCAAGAATTTTTTAAAGTTAGAAAATCGCTCCATCCAAAAAACGGATTTTTTTCCTTTTTAAACAGGTTTTACTATATAACATTATTAACACGCTTTTATCCTGATGTCGATATATATTTTTTAAAGCGTGTTTATATTTTTCAATAGTGGTTTGAGTAAAATACATCTGGTGAAAATTTTCTTACATTTATAATGGAGAGGAGAACTGGGAAACTAATTACAGGACCATGAAAAGTTGCAAATGGATATTACCAATTATAGAGCTTTAGAAACAATAGAGAAAAATCTTTAAAAAGCTATAGCTTTTAATGTAATTGATTTAAAAAATATATTAGTAGACTAATGCTGTAGATATGGTAACTTCATCAGTATCCATCAATGACAGATCTATAATGACTAAGATTAAAATCTTGCAAGACATGACTTCAATCACCAATCCATTTAATCCTGTTATTAAGTTACCAATATAATCTTTTTGCAACATAATGGTTTGATAAATCAAATTAAAAAAAATCATCTTTTATTGATGAAAGAAAATTTAAAATTGAATCTTTATTAAATATTTTTAATTGACTGATTTTCTTCTTCTTATCTTTGTAAAAATCAACCGGAAACAGTTTTTATCGTTAAAATAATGATAAATTGAAGTACCGGTACTTTTTAAGTTTTAGAAAATCTCCGATTTAATTTTTGAGTAGTTAATAATTGAAATATAATTTCCCGTTAATCGTATTTACTTGTGTAAATTTATTGAAGTGTCTATTAAAAATATATATATTCAAAAGATTGATATAATATTTGAAAATTATTGTAAATATAACTAAACAAGATGATACTGATAATGCAAACTTCCAATCATTGTAGCTAAATTCATTTCCAAATTAATGAAACAAGAAAGCTGATTCCAAAATTATAATATTTACATTTATTAAAAATGCCATAAACTAAACTAAACTTCAATCATATTTAAAATCAGATTTGTTATGTGCTCATTTGCAATAATAATTTTAAATATCTTCACTAAAGCTATATAAAATGTGAATATGATTTAAATATGTAGGCATGAGATTTATATCTACTTAAATAATGTGTTTGAAATATATTTTTTAAATAGAAGAAATTCACAGTAGCAATTTATCATATGACAAATTACAACTGATAATTTGTCATTTGAATACATTATATGAGTATCATTATCATATTATTTCTGTCACTCTGACTCCAAAATGCTATTTTAACTGATTATGATAAGTGAATAGATGATTTTTTTATATACTATTTACCAAATAATTTGGTAACTGTTTACAGACTTACAGTTGATTTTTCTATTAAATAAAATAAAAAATAAACTGGTCCTACTACAATATTTGTTTTAATTCTATCTGTATTTCAGCTTTGGTCTGTAATCATTTTGGCAAATATAAAGCACAGATTAATTAAAATGAAACTTATTTAATAAAAGTTAGAATGTTTCTTTGTCTATAAATTTTTAGGAACTTTTAAGACATTTTTACGTAAGGTAAACATTTTTAACCTCGATAAAAATAATTTTATTTGTGGAATTTTAAGCGTAATTTCTAAATATTTCAGATAAATAAACATCCGATGCTGTGGTCTTCGGATTCTTACTGGTTAATAAAATCGGAAAATTTATGGTTTCTGAAGGACAGGAATTTTTCTAATTTGATAAATAAAGAGATAAATATTGCCTTTACGGTATTTAATAACACGAAAGAGACTTTTCTTATTTACTCGTTGAACTGCGAAGAAAACGTTGGACCGTTATCGTTTAATGTTATCGACTGGAACAAGAATGCATCCAACGAAAAGTCAATATTTTACAAAAAGCCTAGATATGTTAAGGATTTGAAAGGCAAAAAGTTCAAATTTGCTTTAGAGAAGGTTAGTATGCTTTGCCAAACTTATCTATTGAATTATGCATTGGATGGGCTGTTTTTCATGAAGTCGTTTTTCAGCATTTTCCTTTTTATTTGCCTCCCAAAAACATAAAATTCCCTAAACCAAGTGGAATTGATATTTATCTTTTGGATATTTTAAGTCGCCGTTTGAATTTTAGGTGAGTTTCCCGAAAAGCATTTTCTTAACCAGCTAATTAATTAATTTATTTATTTTAATACACATTAGGAAATGCCTTACAGACAAAGGATTTAAAAATTTACAGAAATTTAAGAATACAAAATGACGTTTAAATGTATTTTGTAAACGTCATTTAAAATTCATAATCCCCCGTTTCTTCGTAAAAATAAAACGAATGCAACACGTGTGTTGTATTTAATTTTATTAATATTTTAAATCTTATTTTCCAGTTACGATATTGTTAGACCGGCCGATAAAAAATGGGGATCTAAACACAACGGAACTTGGAATGGAATGATTGGTATGATAGAGAAACAGGTTTGTTTAAACGATAAAAATGCTGTTTTCGATTCGTTTCACGTAACTTATTATAAGTTTATGATGTTATGTTGTTGATAGGAAGTGCGGGGAGCATTAGGAGGCATGTCTGTAATTGCTAGTAGGGTGGAAGTGGCGGATTTTAGTAAATCCTACGCCTTCGATCGAATCGCTTTTGTGATTCGATCACCAGAAGAAACAAGTCGTAAATGGGTTATTTTTCGTCCTTTCACTTGGGATGTAAGTAATATGCCTTANTGAATTTATGTAAAATGAAACTATATATAAAAATGTTAGAAATAATTCCAAATTTATATTTTAAGAAACTAGTTCATCTTTCAGGTAATCAAAATTTAATGTAATTCTTTATTTTTATCTTTATAAAATTGAAATTGAGAAATTAATAAAATCAGAATTTTGTGTCAAATAACTGATTACATAGATTAGTTTTTACATTTAATAATAATAATTTATTATAATTATTTACTTTTTATCCTATATTGTATTAAATCTTCTTAATAGCTATATGTAATTTCCTATAAATTTTAAGGAATGTGTGATAAGTCTTTAAATTTATATAAATTACATGTAGCTATTAAGAAGATTTAATAATAATTGAATTGCATTATCTGAAATGGTAATTATGAAATTAAAGACTTTAAAGAAGTAAAATTAAGAATTTTATATAAGCAAAAAATAAAAAATATCTTTGCATTAAGAATAAAAATTAGTGTTAGTAGATATTTTCAGATATATATACATTTATGTTAGTTTTTATTTTTGTATTTACATTTTTTGTGGCTCCTAGTCAGTCTTAGTTATTAAACATTAAAAGTTTCATAATAAAATATTTAAATGTTGTAGGAATCTTACTCGTTTATTGTTAATGTATGATATATAATGTTTGATGATGATAAACTGATAACAGCAGAGATTAACATTAAAATCTGAATAACTTCAGAAACAAATTGTTTTTTGCATAAAACTATAGCTAAATTAATTTTTCTACACTTTACAAAAAGTACATAACCTATATTTTAATCTGTTAAAATTAACACAAATATAAAATATTTAATATANTTTTTTAAATTGAAAACCTTATTTAAAAGCATTAAAATAAACACTTTTTACTGAAAAAGTATTCATTATAACGCTTTAAAAATGAATTTCGTTGAATGTATATAGTATTATTACGTGCAAGTATATGAGATAATTAGTTGTAGAAGAAAATTTTAACGCATTTAACACGAATTAAATATTTGTAGACGAGCCCTTCGGAAGTATTTAAGATAATTTTAAGGAGCATGGAATCTAAACGATCAAATTTCGTAAACCACGACAGTGAAGGTTTGGAGAAATGCAAAAATGAAAACTATGCATATATTGCTGGCGAGTTAACTACAGAAGCGGACATCGAAGAGAAAGGAATGTTCCTTTTTTCTCGAGATAGTTTCCAATTCTTTGGCTATGGCATTGCCTTCGCTCGGAGTTTCTGGTACAGAAACGACTTCGATCGAATGTTAGTATTCATTCATTTTGCTCTCACGCAATGTTATGTTTGCGTGCTAATTTAGACTGTATAATAATATCTTACGATTATTTTCATTTAATATTTCTCCTTTTTTATTGTTTACTCGATACGTAATTTAATCTTAATTTAAAAATAATTGAAATAAAAGTCCAGTCGATCGGATAATTATAATTTGTCCATACGCGCTTACAGTTATTGATAATTTTATTTTAAAATATTTAATTTTATAAATTAGGAAATTATTTACTAATACTATAGAACTACTTTTAACATAATATAATAAATGATAAATTGTAATAACTTTTATATATTAAATTATATATAAATATATGAAACAGGAGATTTTGTCTATTGAGCAGTAGCAGATTATGTTCCTTTCGGGCCCCAGACGCAATTTTCTTATAAGATCCTTTATATAAAAGTATTTTTTATATTAAAAAGACAACGAAATCCTTAAATAATAAGTTTTTTCTTTATAATGTACACTTTTTAAACTATAACCAGGTATATTATCTTTTTGCTTTGTAATTTTTGAGGGCCCTCGCGGTGACCGGAGCCTACGCGTGCGCTAGTAATTCGCCACTGCTATTAAGTAAATTTATAACCATAATTTATTAATTATTTAGTTTAAAGTATCTTATATATATGTATGTATGTATTTTATTACAAATATATCATGTATGTATTTTTTATAGTATAATGCGTTTGAGATATACGGGCATCATCGATCGTAAAATTCAGAAATATATCGAAGAGCAGCAAAAATACTTACCAGAAACACTGGAAGAAAGAATTTTGACTATGTATGACTTACAAGGAGCATTTTTTGTTTTATTGATCGGTTTATTAATATCTATCGCCGTATTTATTATAGAGTTAGTCCCGTATATAATGAAAAAAATCAAGAATTAAGTTTAAACTTAATTAAAATATAATGTAGAAATTTAAAAATGTCTCGTAATATTTACACAGAAAAGTTAAAGTACTTTTCAGCTTAAAGTGATACAAACATTTATTTTACTTAATTCATTTCGTTAGATATTGTAATTAGAAGGAAGATGAATATGATGATTTATTCTATTCAATATTGACCAATAAATATGTAACGTATCTATCCATAAAAGCGTAAAATTTAGGTTGTTATTCTTTTTTCTGAGTCAATATTAGCCTGTTGGGCGGAATCTATGTTATTCATATGCTGGCAAAGTTCGCAGCTGACTTATTGAATAATTGATTATTTAGTTCCAAAAGTGCTTATTTCATATACATATATCTTTTTATTTTTACGTTGGAAGTCTATTGATAAAAAAGATNTGTATGTATTTTTTATAGTATAATGCGTTTGAGATATACGGGCATCATCGATCGTAAAATTCAGAAATATATCGAAGAGCAGCAAAAATACTTACCAGAAACACTGGAAGAAAGAATTTTGACTATGTATGACTTACAAGGAGCATTTTTTGTTTTATTGATCGGTTTATTAATATCTATCGCCGTATTTATTATAGAGTTAGTCCCGTATATAATGAAAAAAATCAAGAATTAAGTTTAAACTTAATTAAAATATAATGTAGAAATTTAAAAATGTCTCGTAATATTTACACAGAAAAGTTAAAGTACTTTTCAGCTTAAAGTGATACAAACATTTATTTTACTTAATTCATTTCGTTAGATATTGTAATTAGAAGGAAGATGAATATGATGATTTATTCTATTCAATATTGACCAATAAATATGTAACGTATCTATCCATAAAAGCGTAAAATTTAGGTTGTTATTCTTTTTTCTGAGTCAATATTAGCCTGTTGGGCGGAATCTATGTTATTCATATGCTGGCAAAGTTCGCAGCTGACTTATTGAATAATTGATTATTTAGTTCCAAAAGTGCTTATTTCATATACATATATCTTTTTATTTTTACGTTGGAAGTCTATTGATAAAAAAGATAAAGAGATAAAATCGAGATAAAATTTAACGGATTGCATTGAAAATATTCAAAGAGTCTATAATTAAATTGTACAATACATATACTTTAAATAAGCTTAGTACATGGTATGGTTTCCAAATAAAATTTATGCAAAGATATGTTACAATTTGAATCAATGTATTATTATAATGCACATTTATTTATTTTATTTTTCGTTAAATTTAAATATTCTTTCAAATTATTTTAAATTAGCAAAAATTTATAAATGTATTCTCTCTATTCTGTGTAAAGTTTATTTCAAATAAGCTGTAATTTTTAAGAATTTAAAACCTTTATTTATAAAAGTCTGTACTTATTTAATTATAATTGAATAAGTCATTAAAAAGCTATTAAATATTGTATCACATATGTGTAAACATTATTTATATAAGCTACATTATTCACAGTTTTATAATTTTCTATATAAAAAAAATTTCCTTGTGATATATGAATTAACTTTGTAAAAGAGGAGTAATGTCTAATTTATAAATACATAAATGTGTTTTACATTTGCAAAATAAAACAGATAAAGTCTGTTTTATACGATAAACATTCATTCATTTTCAATAAAAAAAACTACTTTTTAATGAAAGTGAATGTGATTAATAATTTTTTCTCTTAAATTATGAACATTTTTACGTAATAAGTAAATCAATTAAATCACAACATTATTATTACAATAAAACATTTTATATTTAATATATAAATCTATTAATGCAAAATATAACAAGAAACCCATAAGAAGTAGCATTTATAATAATTTCAATATTTAATTATGCAAAAATTAGGAGTTTTTATATTTAATTCGAATACTTTAATAATATTTTGTAAGTTATGTGAATGGAAATGTAAAAAATAGAGATGAATTATTCAAAATTAAAATGAAAGTTTACTTATTATACATTTTGTGTCAGGCATTATTTTAGGCGAAAAGACTTGATTTTAATAAGACACGAAGGTTATTTTCTCGGTAATCTTATTCATGTTTTTCAAAGACTTAAAATTACTTTGAGAGAGAAAATAAACTAGGAAATATAATTTTTTCCTTAGGAAAAAACGAGATAAGTTTTTGGTGTAAATGTTATTTATTTATTAAAAAGTAATACATTTTAAAATCGTGTTACTTACTAACGTATTTCTTCTTTGAATGAAAGTAATGTAAAATGTATAAATTAAATAAATAATAAATTGTTTGAGTAAATCCCATTTATTAGCAGAAATTTATTCATTCATTCATTTTTAATGGAAAAAATGATATTGGAATAATATAAATTTAATATTAAAAGATTAAAACATGACATTATTTTAAATAATATTATTACTGAAAAATGCAATTTTAATAAAATTTAAATTCAAAATAAAGTAATTTTCGATATTTTAATGAAAGTAACACACAGAAAATTATATTTTTTCTTAAACATTAACGTTATTTTAATTAATTAATTAATTTTTCCTTTAAGAATTAATTACCGTGTTGATAAAAATAGCAGATATATTAAAATTTGTATTAAAGCGCTGTCTCGTAAGCTTTATAAACAATTAAATTAAACTTTCGTCTTATAAATAAATAATAATAAAATTAATAAGAGAAAATATAAAACTCTTATCAAAAATGTTCAAATAGAATTTTTATTTCAAAATTAGCATTTGAAATGTAAGGGATGATTTAAAACTACTGTACAGTACGTCAGTATACCAATAAATAATAAAACAGACAAACTATAGGCCTATTTTAAATTAAAAAAAATGTTTTTGCTTATAAATTCGTAAAATGAAATTGGTATAATCTCCCGATAAAATATTAAAATGTTTTTTAAACGATACATTATCATTTACAACTGGTCTGGCATTATAAACAAGAGGTGTATTGTTGCGCTCGGTTTCTATACACAAAGAAAGAAGTAATCAAATATGATCAGTGTCAAAACTAATATATACATTTGCAAGAAACAATTTTCCTTATTTGGAATTCGGATCATCTGCATCTTCCCGTTTCCGTGGTAACAATCATCTGACCAATCGCGCACGCGCAAACGACAACTTACGGTTACCATAACGACGAGAGGCCGTCCTTGAACTAGAATCGTCCGCCTGATTTTCGAAAACAGCAAAGGGCTAACCGAAAAGGAATCCGTTTCTGACGATTTAATGTCAGCGTTTCATTAAGGAAAGAGATTTTTATTTTATAAATTGACTTTACGGTGATTGTTAGAAATGGCTGCTGTTCATCCGCAACAACCCCAAGAACCATTGCCACCTGGATGGGAATGTCGGTTCGATCCTCGCACAGGAAGATAGTAAGAAAGCAATTATCTTTAACTTAATATCATTACTTTTATACTCCACTTTCTTTTTAACAATGTTTAGCCCTTGTCTTCCCCGTACAATATTTGTGTGTGCAGCAAAACCTGTGTAAACCGCAATGGCGCGGTACCCAATGTTTTTGTCCGCTCTGCCAGGTTTTTTTAACTTACAAAATCCAAGAATTTTTTAAAGTTAGAAAATCGCTCCATCCAAAAAACGGATTTTTTTCCTTTTTAAACAGGTTTTACTATATAACATTATTAACACGCTTTTATCCTGATGTCGATATATATTTTTTAAAGCGTGTTTATATTTTTCAATAGTGGTTTGAGTAAAATACATCTGGTGAAAATTTTCTTACATTTATAATGGAGAGGAGAACTGGGAAACTAATTACAGGACCATGAAAAGTTGCAAATGGATATTACCAATTATAGAGCTTTAGAAACAATAGAGAAAAATCTTTAAAAAGCTATAGCTTTTAATGTAATTGATTTTAAAAAATATATTAGTAGACTAATGCTGTAGATATGGTAACTTCATCAGTATCCATCAATGACAGATCTATAATGACTAAGATTAAAATCTTGCAAGACATGACTTCAATCACCAATCCATTTAATCCTGTTATTAAGTTACCAATATAATCTTTTTGCAACATAATGGTTTGATAAATCAAATTAAAAAAAATCATCTTTTATTGATGAAAGAAAATTTAAAATTGAATCTTTATTAAATATTTTTAATTGACTGATTTTCTTCTTCTTATCTTTGTAAAAATCAACCGGAAACAGTTTTTATCGTTAAAATAATGATAAATTGAAGTACCGGTACTTTTTAAGTTTTAGAAAATCTCCGATTTAATTTTTGAGTAGTTAATAATTGAAATATAATTTCCCGTTAATCGTATTTACTTGTGTAAATTTATTGAAGTGTCTATTAAAAATATATATATTCAAAAGATTGATATAATATTTGAAAATTATTGTAAATATAACTAAACAAGATGATACTGATAATGCAAACTTCCAATCATTGTAGCTAAATTCATTTCCAAATTAATGAAACAAGAAAGCTGATTCCAAAATTATAATATTTACATTTATTAAAAATGCCATAAACTAAACTAAACTTCAATCATATTTAAAATCAGATTTGTTATGTGCTCATTTGCAATAATAATTTTAAATATCTTCACTAAAGCTATATAAAATGTGAATATGATTTAAATATGTAGGCATGAGATTTATATCTACTTAAATAATGTGTTTGAAATATATTTTTTAAATAGAAGAAATTCACAGTAGCAATTTATCATATGACAAATTACAACTGATAATTTGTCATTTGAATACATTATATGAGTATCATTATCATATTATTTCTGTCACTCTGACTCCAAAATGCTATTTTAACTGATTATGATAAGTGAATAGATGATTTTTTTATATACTATTTACCAAATAATTTGGTAACTGTTTAC